TGACCCATAAGCCTAGGAGTGGAGACCGCCCGCGCGGGTGGATCATGGGACCCCTGCTCGTAAAAGATGAAAAAACGATAGCCAGGGAGGCGCTGAGGAGTTGCCTGAGTGTCTCGGGCCCTTTTGCTCAACTCTTTTGTGCATTTGCGGGCCCCCCACCCCGGATAGGGGGCGGCCGACGAATGCCTGCGGGCTTGTGGGCACGTCTGAGGGTCGAGTGGCCACTGCGGCGTCGCTGTCCCATGTGTGGTGCTGAGGCGGCAGGTGGGGTCTCGGCTCTGCTGATGAGTGCGAGGCTGGGGCCTGAACTCAGGCTGGCTGCACCTTGTGGGCCTTCTGGCGTTGCCAGCCCCCATGGCTGGTGTGTGGATACCTGCTGGCTTCGGGTGGCAGTCCGCAAAAGGATCACGCTCCGTGGGAGCTCTGGAGAGAGGGTGGGAAGGCGTGTCCTGTTCTCGAGGCCTGGCCTAGCGCCCCGCCAAAGAAGCCGAGCACAGAGGCCCCATGAGCCGAAACCGCCCCCGGCAACGCGCGGCGCCAGGCGGAAAAGAAGCCCGGAGCAGCGACCCACCACGACTACTGGTTGTTTTTTTTGTGTGTGTCTGTGCGGCGCTGTGTCGTTGGTGCGGCTAGCTTATTTTGCGGTGGTCGTTTGTGTTGAGTGTTTTGTTGTCTTGGAGCGGATGTGTGTGCAGTGGTAGTTGGGCGCGGGTGGCTCAAGCCTGGTAATCCCTGCCTTTGGAGGGCCGGTTTGTTTGTTTATTTCCGGGTATGTGTTTGTTTTGACGTCTGTTGGTGAAGCAGTCCGGAAAAGCGGCGACGGCGGGGCGATGAAGGCAAAAAGAGTGGGGTGTGTGGTTGTGGTTTGTTGGGCCCGGGCGAAGGTGGCGGGCGCCTGTCAGTCCAGGTATCGGGCTGACGGCAGGAGAATGCGTAAACCCGGGAGGTGGGCTGCAGTGAGCTGAGATCGGGCACTGCACTCCAGCCCGGGCGGACGGCAAGACTTCGTTCAAACAAAAAGAAAAAAAAAAAAAAAAATTTTTAAGTAGAGCGGGTGACCGGTGTAGCCAGGCAGTGTCTCTCTCGTGTCTCCTCCCACGGTGTGGGTGGACATCCTGGTACACAGGTGGAACCCGGCTCTACTAAAAATTTTTTTTTTTTGTTGTTTTTTTTGTTGAGAGGAAGTTCTTGCGTCGTGGCCCGCGGGCTGGAGTGCAGTGCGGATCTCAGCTGCACTGCAAGCTCCCTCTTCCGTTTACCATTTTTTGCTCGCGCCCGAGTAGCTGGGATACAAGGCGCGACCGTCGCCCGGTAGTTTTTGTGGTATTTTTGTGTAGGTGGGTGGGTTTCGCGTTGGGCATCCGCGCGGTGGTTTACCAGGATGGTCTCGATTCCTACCTCGTGATCCGCCGTCTGCCTCGGCAAGTGCTGGGCATTTACAGGCTTGGCGCCGCGCCGGCTCGTACTAAAAAGTATTTTTACCAATTCAGCCGGGCGTGGTGGCAGGGCACGGTAGTCATCTATCGGGAGGACGAGCAGGAGATGGCAGTGGGCGGGAGCGAGTTTGCAGTGAGCAGAGGTCACGCCACGTGTCTCCAGGCCGGGAGACAGGCAGCCGTCTCAAAAAAAAAAAAAAAAAGAAAGAATTCGAATAAATCAAAGTCGTGGCGGCAAAGGGGTGAGCGGCCATCAGAGGCCTTTTCCAGCCTGGACATCGACGACACCCGGCTCGAGTCCACCTGCGGGGGCAGCCCCAGAGGCACAGGTGTCTGGGCTACCCTGATGTGGGCCTGAGCCACCACTCTGTAAGGGCCTCACCACACTGCTGCATCCCCACCTGCTTCCACCAAAGATGGGGGCAGAGAGGAGCTGAGGGGTCGAGGCCTCGAAGACACAGGAGCACGGCCTTCCCACCTCCCTCTGCCAGAGCTCCCACGGAGCTGTGATCCCATTTGAGACATGGTCACCAAGGCCAGCAGGTATCCACACCACCAGCCCATGGGGCTGGCAAGCCAGAAGCCCCCACAGAGGTGCAGCCAGCCTGAGTTCCAGGACCCAGCCCTGACACTCATCAGCAGAGCCCGAGACCCACTCCCGCCATCAGCACCACATGGGACAGGAGCCCTGGCCAGTGCCCACTCAGCCCCAGAGTGCCCACAAGCACCCAGCATTTGCGAGGTCGCCGGCCCCCTATCCTGGGGTGGGGGCCCGCAAGTTCACAAAGAGGTGAAGCAAAAGGCCCGAGACAACTCAGCTGAACTCTGCATGGCTCTTGCCATATTCCGTTTTTTTCATTTTTAGAGATGGGGGTCTCACTATGTCACCCGGGCTGGTCTCCAACTCCTAGGCTTATGGGATCCTCCCGCCTCAGCCTCCCAAGTAGCTGGGATCAAAGGCATGCAGCACCGTGCCTGGCTCTCGCCACATTCTGCAGCCCTAAATTACAAGTTAATGTCAAGACCAAATAACAAGCACGTATTCCCTTAAAAGGCTACACACAATGGATTCAAGAGGAACATCTGGAAGACAACATTGAACAGCAAATCTTTTTAAAAACGGACTGTTGAATCCAAAAAGAAAAAAAATATGTGGAGCTTCTCAGGGGGTTCTGGTCAGGTGACGATCATCACCACCCACCCGTGTGGCTGCGACACTCAAATGTGCACCCCAGCATCCCCGCCAGCCCGAGCCCCCAGCCCCACACTGCAGCTGGCGCGCACGCAGGGGAGGCCCAGGCAAAGCTGCACAGACCAGGCGTGTGCCCGCCCTGAGCTTCGAGCGGCGGCTGCACAAAATCATCCCACGCGTTGAATTTTTAAACTGCATCTTACAAGCAGCTGCAGGAAACCACGTGGGCATGGAGTGTGAATGTGTCCGGCACCAGCGCTTAACCCCCGCGGTGCTGCAGGCGCCCCTGCCGGGAGTATGACTGTGTGTGCAGCCACCAGCGCTTAACCCCCGGGGTGCTCTGATGCCGGCTGGAGGGACGGTCAGCCCAACACAGCTCCCACGTAAAGCACCAGACCCCTAAGGAATTTCAAGACCCTAAGATCAGCAGTGAGAGGCACCGGTAGGGGTAATAAGTTCTGCTGAGCAACTAAGTCTTGTCTGCAGTTCCCTGTGTCCTTCAGGGGCCTGAAGAAGGAGTAGCAAGGTCAGAGCCATCGAGAGCCTCCCCTGGGGTTAGACGTGAGGCCTTGTGTTCTTGGGCTCCCTCATCTCTTCATCTCTCCACGCTCCCTCCCATGTGGCAGGCAGACTTATCCAGGCCCACCCTGCTGGGGGACAGTCTACCAGGCTTCCGAAGCAGCCTCACCTATCAGATGCCACCCACCCACTGGGAAGCCCACATCTCGTCCACAGCACAGGTGGGTCCTTAACTCAAAAGACGAGGTTCAAATGTAAGCTGAGTGCCAGTGGGCCAGGGCACACAGCACGTGAGCCAGAACAGACCGGCAGAGCCATCACCGTCGGAAGGATCCAGGGATCTGGGGTGCTGGGGGTGATGGACAGCAGGTGGCCACGCCTCAGGATGTAGGTGTAGGAGTGCAGCGGTGTCGCACCCAGGCTGATGGGTCAACCGGCTCTGGGCAGCTCACACCGCTGGCCCAGGGCTGCCTAGGGGTGCTGGGGAGTGAGGAGGGGAAGGAGCACCGGAGGGCAGGAAAGGGAGCACATGTGGGAGTCACGGGCGATGTGTTTCCTTTGGGATGAAAGTCTAAAATCCACACAGGCATCCTGAAAATGAGGCCTCTCTTTCTTCAACCGTCTACCAATGGACTGCCATGAGTGAAGCAGCAGCCGGTCCGCAGTGGGGTCACCGTGGGCCTCACCCCACCAGCTCCACCTCCACCTTGGACAGGGCGGTCGCCAGGCTGAGACTGAAACCCGCTCCACGGGACGGACTGACTGGGGAGCCCAGCCTCCTGTGGACGGGCTGAGCGCAGTGATGACAGGGCTGCCTCAGGACCCTGGCTGGGGCCCCTGCTCCCCAGCAGAGAAAACAGCACCTGAGTCAGGCGAGGCTGCAGAGCCCAGGCCCCAGGCGCGCCCGGCCAGCATCTTTCTGTCCTCGAGTCGGTTCTGCTTGGGGGCAGCACCTGGCGG